GTCGTCCGAGTCGTAGTTGCCCGTCATGTCCAGCGTCGATGTAGGCGTCGGGATGTCCATGGGCGCCGACTTGTGCACAAGCTTCGTGGCGCCGTCGTCGAGGTCGCTGTCGTTTGCGGCGACGTCGGTCGCCGGCGCTTCCTCGACGCGTGCGCTGGCAGTGGCGGCTCGCTGGGCGCGCAGGGTCATGTAGACGTCGGCGGCGCTGATGGCGGCGGAGACGAGGGACACGGCAAGGAGGCAGAGCATGATGCGAGGCCGGCTCGTTGCGAAATCTTGGTACCCTGTTGTTGCCTTGGCATTGCGAATTGAGAATCCAGAATTGAGAATCCAGAATTGAGAATCCTGGAATTCTGCGTTTTTATCTTGTCTTGCGCTTTGTATGAAATACAATGCATTCGCAACGGACCCAGTGGTGCGAATTCGGCGACGGTTTCGGGAAAGCGAGCGATGTGATTGGCTATTACTCTGGCAACCATCGTTTTGACTCGTGATTTGTATGCCGTGCACACACCTCGCTCGAATTCGCCTAACAAGTCGTATCGGCCTCAGCACCACAGCCATGCCACGTCACGACCATATTGCATCAACCTGACGATCTGGTCGACCTATATTCTTAACACATAGAATGTGTCGTGCTCCAATGCGCCTTGGAGTTTACATACATGTATGGACAGTCTCAGCACCAGTGATATATATCAGTCGTGCGTGCCGCGTACTGCGTCGGTGACGTGAACCCGCATCTCGCTCGGGTTATACTGAACGACGAACGCCGTAGGTTGGTGGTCGCGAGTGTCTTCGAGCCATTGCAGCAGTGCCTACACGATCGTATCAACGATGAAACCCATTTCTCTGGACGCACGAGCGCGCTGGACGAGAAGAGCGAGCCGACAAAATGCTGTAATCGGACGCCGTGTCTAGAGATATTCTGGGTTAGCGACGAGCTAATTCATTCAAATGTACAGCGAGCACGCGGCACCGCACTGAGACGGTGCAAAGAGCGCCGGGTCCAAGCGACTAGCACAACGTCGGTATCGACGAGTAGCACATGACAAAGAGTGATACCACGCAGCTGCATCACAGCAGCAACCGACGAGCGCGAAGCGGTACGACGACTGCAGGAGCGAAAGAAGCTGAGAGAGCGCGATGGGATAGGCCAAAGCAAACTACACAAGCGCGTACGTCCATCGCAATCGCCAAGAGAGACGTACGTGTGTCACACCGTTATAGCAGCGCCCCGTGACGCGCAGAAGAGCCAACGCAAACGTCGCGAGCGCCGGCGCTGTCCCCGCCACCAAGCGATCTCGCGCGTTGGTGTCGACCCACGCATTCGAGACGAGGCAAAACCCAGTCTACGACACCTCGTCAGCGGTGAGTACTGGGATCGGAGAGCCCGTACGAGGCTCAGGATGCAGGCCCACGCGTGCATCTCGGTGCGATGCAACATGTCTGACGTTGCGAATTTTTTCTAGAGTCCTCGTACGCAAGTACATTTGGTAAAATATGGTCACGTCGCCTTTACAGTCGGGTCAGTCGAGTTCAGAGACGGTGTCTATTGTCGATTAATTGCGCTTGTAGTCGGACTTGGACGGCTGTATTAGCGTCTCGGTGATGACGTGGCAGGCTTGCTCGGTAAAGTGCGTCGTGGCGCTCCGCTTGGCGAGGCGATGGCTCGGAACAAGGGACAGCGTTGGCGTCACGCAGAGTGATCGGCGCTTGCCGTGACCGTCTGACGTGTCGGCGATGTCGTGCTGAAAGTACATGCGATTGCAGTCGAGGTTCGTCTTGAGCACCTTGGCGGCGGGGAAGAGCTCCATGAGCAGCGTCCAGAGCGGCGTGACAATGTAGTTGATAAAGTTGAGCTGCAACGTCGCAATGTCCTTGTCTGTTTCCAAATGCGCGCGGAAGACGGCAACGGGGATGCCCGCACTGCGCTCTTTCGCCGCCAATAGCGCAAACTCTTCCACGAGCCGGCGCGACCTATGCCATGCCACTCGCTTCTTTTGCAATATTTCCATCTAGTAAATGTACCACTCCCACGCGACGTCAACCGGGTACACTTGCGCGCCAATGTCGGCGGCGTGCAAGACACTTCCGAGAAGGTGCTTGATGTGCGTCGCATCGTCACTATCAAAGGCCGGCATTTGCTTGAGCTCGCGGTTGTGCTACAAACACGACTCGGGTGCAATAGTGGACAATAAGAACTGTCTACCGCGTCTTCAAGCGCATGGACAAGATCAAAGTGGGACTTCATGTCGGTTTGCAGGATCGCGTCAATGACGAGCTTGCGCAACGACTGGAAGGCGACACGGCACAAGCCAACGGCAATGTTGCACGAGGCGTCGCCAAGGATGCGAAAGGTCTCGGCGGCGTGGTGCTGCTCCAGCACCGACGTGTCGTTGTAGAGAACCGCGAGCGGTGACAAGGTCGCCGCCTCAAAGCCATTGTCCGTGCCCGGGTGGCCCACATCGTGCGTGAGCGCCGAGAGCAAGAGAGCAAACACATGCATGGGCTACGTAATTTGTATCAATGTATCGACCACCGCCTCGACGAAAACATCAGAATATCAAAAATACCTGCAACAGCGACAAAAGTGACGTGCGACTCAGTAGCGCAAAGCAGCGCTGGAAGACGTCGACGCCGTGCCACCACGAGTGGTACGGGTTGTCGAGATACTCCTCTTGGACGCGCGTCACAAACGCAAGGCCGACCTCCGCCGGCACGGAAAAGGTCTCGAACAGCCCGATTTCTCGAAAGGCCTCGACCTAAGCATATTTCGATATACAAGAATGTCGCATAGTTCATAAATCGCGTACGCAGAGGTGTCGCAGCTGGTCGGAAGGGCACGTAAAAATGTTAAAGGAAAAATCATCGAACGCGACTTGCGCGCTGCTCCAATGGGCCCGTAGCGTGCACTTTAGCAGGAGCGCCGGCGCTTGGTCGTTCCCGATCCACGTCTGCACGCCGCGGTGTTGCTTGAGGCGCCGCATGAACTTGCCGACGGCGCGAAACGCGTAGATGTACCAGTAGCGCTTGGACGGTCGCGCGGGGGCGGCTGGTTGCGAGTACGAAGAGAGGAGAGACGAAACCACGAGTGTGAGCGAGTCGCGTCGCTTCATGTGGTTGACGCCCTGGAGCACTTGGTGGTACGCAGTCTCGAGCGCCGACCGTCGCAGCGACGACGCAATTTCTACATTCAAATTGAGATTGCGTTTGATATGTGTCAATCGTACCGTCGCAGAACGCCGTGAGCATCTGCACGTCGGCGTCTTGAAATGGAATGATCGTGTCCAAGGCCGGCGGGTGCTCGGTGGACGGCACTGTGAGTTTGTTGATGGCTTGGATGACGGCGACCATGTCATTATCGTGGGTGATGACGGGCGCACAGAGCGCCGAGATGGTCTTGTAGTCCATCTTGCGGTCCGTCGCGGCGTTGAAGCGCGGGTCGTCGTAGCAATTGTCGATGCGCAGCACTTGTCCCTACACCCCATTTTGCGTCACCGAGCCAAATCGCGTGGGCTAACTACCGTGCCCGCCACATAGCCAGCAATCCCAACCCCGTACGGGATGACCATGCGCCGAAGCACCGGGTCGTATGACACGCAGCACACAAGCTCGCGCTTCTCGCGGTGGCAAAGGAAGAGCGAGAGCTTGTCGCAGTGCAACGCTGTTTTCGCCACGTCGATGATTTTGTGGATCATGCCATTGAGGTCATTGCCTACGATGTCGGAGGATGAGATATAATGTTATGTAAAGATGGGCAATTGTAGTGTACACTCGGTCGCGATCGCACGCACAACCTCGAGCATCGCCGATGCTTTTCGCCCCGCGAGCATGGCGACTTCGTAGAGCTCGAGCTTGTGCAGCGTGTGGCCGGCGATCGACGCGATGAGCTCGAGGCTCATGCAGTCGCTTCGCGTAAAGTCCGTCGCCTTGTTGGCGCAGCGAAGGACGGCGACAGGCACTTTGGAAGGGTCCAGTATCGGCACGCAGAGCAGGTTGCGCAAGAGGCTTCCATCGACGAGGTACTTGTCCGTGTCCTGGTCACACCGCGCGTCGTTCTCGACGTCTTGGATGATGACGGACTCTGCGAATTTGGCCACGTGACCTAGCACCCCTACGCAGCCAATGGGGTGATGGTGGTGGACGCTGCATGACATACCTTTGTTGAGCGGGTACTCGGTGCTCCGCGACGACCGCGAGACGCACATGTGCAAGGTCTCTTTTTTGTGGTTGATGAGGTAGAGCGCGACGTGGTCGACTTCGAGCACTTCGTATGTGCCTTCAATGATGCGCGAGAGCGCTTCGCCCGAGTCAATCTCGACGGAAATCGAGCTCGCCACCGAGAAAAGCGTCTGGTACTGCCGCACGAGCTTGAAGAGCTTGGCGTGGTGGCGTCGGAGGTCGGGCAAGCCTAATGACGCACAGAACTCGGCGTACTCGCTCTGACTCATCTCCGAGAGTCGCTTCTCGTCAAAGGCGCCCGACTCGGCTACATGCTTCCGCTCAACCGAGCGCATTTCAAAAGAGACGTACGTGTCGAGGGAATGATGGGCAGCTGGCAGTGCTCAATGTCGGTGAGGCGCTGCTGGAGCTCGAGTTTGTGTCGTGACGGCGACGCTCCCATGCGGTCATGCCTACACGCGTCCGGTGTTATCGCTCCGTCACAAGACAAAGCAATGACGTACAAGTGCAGCGGTGGCACCGACGTGAGTGGACTCAAGTGGCCGAGCGTGTGGCTCTCGTTGCCACCTCCACTGTCGGTCTTGGTCATTGACGTTCGCACTAAGTTGCGCGCGCTCTTGCGTTTCGCGGACGGCTCCAAGGCGCCAGCGCCGTCTTTCGTTGCGAGGCATCTCCCTGATACGCACAGCATTAGCGTCCACTCCACTCGGAAGTACGCACCGTCGGCTCCAAGTGGTGCAAATGCGTTGGTGGCTTGCGCTTCGGACTCAGATCCTTCACCGGACTCTTCTCTGCGACGATGCCACGCCCGGACGGCATCCGCTGGAGTTGACTGGAGCTTGCGATGGGGCTGCTTGAGCTTGCGCCCTTGGGTGGGCTGGGGGAGCTTGGTCGAACCGCGTTCGCATCGTCGCTGCGCGGAAGTATCGAGCTCCGGCGCATGTCGGCGCGCGTGACAGATATCCGACGCGGTGGGCTAGTCTCGGGCAAATGGCCGGCAGGGCGCGCGGGGCTGATCTCGCTCGCCTTTTCCAAGCTCGTCGCGCTCAAGCGTGTCGTTTCAATCTTAGCGGCATTGCTAGAGCGCGGGGTCTTGGCGGCGTCGTTTGGCTTGGCTGGCGACGGCCCCTTCTCGACGCACTTCTCCGAGACTAAGACTCGGTCGTGTGATCACGACGCACCCAGCAGCTCGTACCTGGCGGCAGCACCAGCTTGGCGTCGGTGGTTGCCTCCATCGCCCGCCTCTGCTCTATCTGACGTGACCGTTATCTTGAATGCGAAAAGGCGTCCATGAAACGCCCTGCGACGATGAGATACGAGCGACTCTTACACGCACATATATCTGGCCATGACGGTAGGCTGGTCACGCTGCGACTAGCGCTCCGGTATTGCTTGTGCGAGGGCGGCTGCCACCGCCGGCTAGTACGACAAGGCAACGCGTCTATGGTATCTGAATGCTCTGCGGCGTGCTGCTGTCTGGTCAAAGCCTGTTGCGATCTATCACTACCTACTGTTCAACGCGTGTTCATCGGCTTCGAGAACGCTCGTCGGTAGATAGGGTGTTGATGGGCGTGTTGGAACACGGATCAAGCAGCGAAAGCTCACCAACTCGGTTGAAGACGACGCCGTGACTTACAACATGTACTAGACGTTGAGTCATCGATCTTGTTGCTGACAAGAGCCTTTTCCACCTACACCGGCAAGTGCTCGTCACAGTAGCAGGGTGGACGATAGCAAGCAACCTCGGATTGCATCGTGTGGTTGAGCTTTTCAACGAAGCTGGATGGGAGCTGGGACGGGATCATCGCTGCGGCCTCCTCTGCAGCTCAGTTTTCACTCGAAGTATCCGCATGCATCAGTTGCCAGTCTCGAGTATGCAAAGTCAACTCGCACAAAGGACAATGTCAGCTACACCGTGCAAATATGCATGCGATCTCCAACATAATGTCATTTATGGCCAAGTGTCCATAGCCCTGCGTCCTCCACCTTGTCCAGGACGAGATCAAACTGAAGGCGCGGGCAATCGAGTGCGAGAAAAAGACGCTTCGTGATCGGATGGCCACGCTGCAGGGGTTTCGCGTGAAACCGTGCGGTCGTGTATTGATAGCAAACCGTTTGTCAAATCTTAGAAAGGCGCGCGGCTGCTGCATGAGCGCCAAGGTCTTTCAAATGCCCGACTCGGCGCGGAAGCGCCCTCCGGCCGAGCTCGACCACGCGGTTCTCAAGAAGACCAAAAACACCAATGACGCGCGGCTCGTCGCCCGCCGTCGCTGGAAAATGATCCAGGGGCACGTCTTGCTCTCGCGCTGGTACATCGATCTCGCATCCCGCGTCGTCATACGTTCCAAATACATTAGGCTGCGCAAGACCGTGGGCGAAAACAACCACCGCAAGTTCTGCAAGGCGCAGCAGTCGCTCATGGACTCGCTCTTCACAAGCCAAGACGACTTTATCGATGTCCTCCTCAAGATCCGGGTCGGACCTTTTTGCACAGTATTTGGAGCTCATGAGGCGCTGTAGGAACAATTCGTGTCGTTTATGGACGCGGAAAACTGCTACATGTACATTGCCACGACGCGCGGTGTCCTCGAATTTGACGGCCAGAGCGTGTACCCGTCAACGCGCATTCAAAATGGTCTCCTTCACCGCGCGTTCGAGCAAGGCATCCCGATGCACGTGCCGACGGCCGTGACGTCGGACCTCTTTATCGACGAAAAGGACGGGCTCGACGGCCTCGACGTTCGGGTAACACACATTGCATGTCGACTCGCAACTGTCCTCTTTTCTCATTTATACATTGTCGCTAGTCGTACTTGTGCATGCCGCTGCAAAATGGATCCCGCGTTGTCGCAGTCGCCGAGATCTTCAACTATCGCAAAGGTATTCAGACGATCCAGGACTATGTCGACTCGCTCCAGAGTGCGATCGACGAGCCCAACGACTTGACGGTCTTCAGCCGCTTTGTGGCTCAAATCGTCACGTCGCTCAACATTTCGTTCGAGCCCGCTCAGCGCCGCACGTCGTTTCCGTCGACCGCATCTCTCGCGGCCCTGGCGACGCCAAGCGATATCTCATCTGACGCCGTGCTGCAGCGCGCCGTCGGGCTCCTCCACCGCATGATGGCGATCGACCACTGCCGTGTCTACGCGCTCGACGTGCCGTCCAACTCGCTCTTCTCGCGCGTCTTCCGCAACCAGCCGTCCATGAGCATCCGCGTCGGCGACGGTATCGTCGGTGCTGTCGCTGAATCGGGAAAAGCCATGCATCTCACGGACGCAAGCACCGACCCGCGCTGGAGCATCGGCACCGACAACACGTCTGGGCTTGCGATCTCGACGGTGCTGTGCACACCTATCATTGGGCCCGACGGCCGCGTCAACGGCGTGCTCCAGCTCCTCAACCGCCGCCACGAGCCGAGCTTTACGTCGGTCGACCACGCGATTTGCAGCGCGATCTGCACGCACTTGGGCGTCGAGATCTACAACGCCGACCTGCGCGCGTCGATTTCCAAGGCGCAGGTGAAGGCGCAGACGCTCCTCGACCTCTCGACGATCCTCTTTCAAGAGTCGGACATCAAGGTCATTGTGCGCGCGATTTTAGCGACCGTCCAGCGGCCCATGGGCGCCGCAAACATTCGCATCTATGTCACCGACCGCGAGAAGCACGAGCTCGTGCTCTGCGACGGCGACCGGCGCCGCCGCCCGATGCACGACGGTTGTGTTTCTTACAAATGCAACGTGGACTGCTAACGGGCGTTGATTAGGGCTTCTCGGGCATACGGTGGCAACTGGCGATGTCTGCAACAGCCACGACGTCCCAAGTGACACGCGCTGGACGCTGGCGTGGCGCGCCGAGTACTCGGACGTGCGGGCGCTTTTGCTTGTGCCTATTAAAGACGCGACGGGCTTTGTCTTGGGGGTCGTCGAGATGGTCGGAAAGAGCGCTGAGGCACCGAAAAATTACTTTGACCAAGAGGACGAAGCGCTGGCGATTGGCATCGCCTACTACTTGGCGATTGCTTTCAACAATGCGATTTCCGCGCGCGCCGCCGTCCGTCGCAGCGACGCGCTCATCAAGATGCTGCACGTCGTCTCGTCGTGCACGGACGTGAGCTCGGTGTTTGAAGAAGTCATCACGGCCACGTGCGAGGTTCCTATGTCCTCTTGTGTCGCTCCTTCGTCCCACAACTTCTCTGGGATCATAGGTTCTGGACGCAGAGCATGCCATGCTCTTCCTCGTCAACCACATTGAAAATACGCTCACGAGTCGCGGCAGCGAGAAAACAAAGGGTTGCGTTCTCAGCATGGACCAAGGCATTCCTGGCGAAGTGGCCGCGACCGGCGTGCCCGTCATTCTCTCGGAAGCCACGCCGCACCCCAAGTTTGATGCGTCCATGGACGCGCTCCTCGGCGTCACGACGCGGTCGCTTCTCTGCGTGCCCGTCGTCTCGCGCGAGAAGATCATTGCAGTCCTTCAAGTCATCAACAAGCGCCTTGCGCCGAGCTTTGTGAGCGACGACGTGGCGCTCATGAAGGCTGTGTGCGTCGAGATCTCCTCGGTGCCCTTGTCACGACGACGCCACTGTATGCATATGCGTTTGTCATGTAGGTCATTGAGCGCCGGTCGCTCGAGCTCCTCTTCCACGACGAAGAGCACCCAGAGACGGAGCTTCAAAAAGTCACATCAGACTTTCTCGCTCAATTCACCGACGTGCACCGTCCGACGCCAAGTACGCACCACCCGGCATCGCCTCCGCTGCAAGAGACAACAACGACGACCGCGTCCGCACCGACCGCCTCCATCAGCGCGTTGCCGAATCTCGACAAGCTCCAAGACGTTGTTGATTGGGGGTTAAACCCTTTTACCCTACCCCGCGAGCTGCTCGTAGTGCACGCACAGTCGATGTTTGACGGGTTCCACCTCCTCGACCAGTATCAAATGCCGATCAAGACGTTCCAGCGCTTCATGCTCTCGGTGCGGGACCAGTACCGGAGTGTGGCGTACCACAACTTTATCCACGCGTTCACGACGCTGCACATGACGTTCCTTGTCGTCTATGCGCAAGCGACCTCGAAGAAGACCGCGAATGCATCGCTTTTGAATGTGCGGGACGTGCTCGCGCTCTTCATCGGGGCAGTTTGCCACGACATGAACCACAATGGCCGCACGAACGAGTTCCACATCAAGGCCAAGACGTCGACTGCAATGCTGTACAACGACCAGAGCGTGCTCGAAAACATGCACGCGGCCCACTGCTTTGACACGCTGCGGCGACCGGGCCACAACATCCTCGAGCATTTGACGAGCCCCGACTACATTTACGTGCGGAAGAGCATCATCCGCATCATCTTGGCGACCGACATGCACTTTCACAGCAACATGGTCAAGATGCTCCACGAGCGCTTCAAGCACGGCGTCTTCCAGCACGACGCCGAGGCCGACAAGGAACTGCTTCTGAATGCAATCGTACACAGCGCCGACATTGCCAACCCGACGCTCTCGACGTCTGTGCATACACTGTGGACCGAAGCGCTCATGGTCGAGTTCAACGAACAGTATGAAGAAGAGATGACACTCGGACTCTCGCCAAGCGGCTTTATGAGCACGAGAGCGCACTCGCCCGACCACGCGCGCATGAACATTGCGTTCATTGACTCGTGCGTCTTCCCGCTCTGGAGCATTATGCACGACTTCCTCGATGGTCTAAGCGTCTGCATCGGCAATCTGCACCGGAACCGCGAGTACTGGGTCGCAAAGACGACCACTGGTCAAGATGTGTAGGATGCAAGTACATACTAGTCTAGTCCAAGCTGTAAACGACTACTTCTTTTTCGTCGACTGAAAGCCGCCAAAGCCCATCATGGCCATCATCGCTTCCTCGTCTTCGGTCGCAAAGACGTCGAGTGGCGCCGCTTCTTCTTTTTGCTGCTTCTTCGCCTCCTTCTTTTGCTTCTTCTTGAGGTTGGCTTCGGCGTCCATTTCCGCCAGCTTCTTCTCGTAGGCTAGATACACAATGCGTGATTGCTGTTTACAGGCGGACGACGCTATGTACCTTCGACCGCGTCGGGCTTCTTGGCGACGGTGGGGTCCCACTTGCGCTTCGACGCGAGGTTGAGGCGCTCCTTGACGGCCTCGACACCGACCTTTTCGACGCGCATCGAGAAGCCGAGTCGCCGCAGATCTGCGCATGGCATGAGACCCGTCTCGTCGAGAGGCCATAGTAGGTTACGTACGGCGCTTGCCGTTGATGTGGTCAATGTACGAGACCGAGTCCTTGAGCGTGACCTCGCACACCTCGCAGTAGTAGCCCGTGCCCTTCATCGTCTCGTCGGCCTTGAGCACGACGGTCTTCCCAACGTTCTCTTCCAGCTCGACCTGCTTCGTCCGCGCCTACGCCAAAATCGCATCTTTGCTTGCCCATTGCGGCGCCAAAGCGTACCTTGAGGAACGCGCGCGACGAGCCAATGGGGCCGGCGGCGCCATCCGGCGCGGCTTGGAACTCTTCGCGCTCCGAGACTTGCTTGGTCGACTTGGTCTCTTCCTCGAGGAGGCCGTTGGCACGCAGCGCCGCCTTCTGCGCGAAGAACGCCTTGTCCCACGTTCGCCGCGTGACGTTGGCCACGCCCTTCTTCGGTGCGTCCTACGACCACAGCATCATCAGGCGCTGGCGTCATGGCCGGGCCGGTCTTGCCGCCATTGCTTCGTATCGATGGAAATTTCGCAGCTGGCGCAATGGGCGGGGATTTAACGCACGTTAAAGTACTGAATGTAGGTCTCGTCGTGGTGCTCGATACTCGGGCCTCGCATTCTCTCGTGTCCACCTTGAGTGCATCACTGCTCGTCTGGAAATTATGGTATGCGGCCGACCTTCTGAGGTGTGCATTTGCGAGCGGCACGTCGTTTTGCATGATGGGGCGCCAAGTTGGGTGCCATGGATCTTGGCCGCGTTTAACCTCTACCAACGAGGTTTATGTGCGAGTGTAGGTCGTTCCGTGGCCATACGAAGATGGAGGCAGTGGGTATTTTCGACCAAGACAGCGAACCGACAAGATGGGCTTCATGCACCAGAGCCAGCGCGTGATGACGCCGATCTCGCAGGTCCGCCTCACGAACGTGGCCGTCGTGCGCCTCAAGAAGAACGGCCAGCGCTTCGAGGTTGCTTGCTACAAGAACAAGGTCGTCAACTGGCGCAATGGCGTCGAGACGAGCTTGGACGAAGTCCTCCAGTCGCAGTCCATCTTTGAAAACGTCTCGCGGGTACAATGCGCCCATCGCTGGGCGATGACCTTACATGCTTGTAGGGCAAGAAGGCCAACAACCTCATGGCGGTCTTTGGCACGGAAGACGTGACTGAGATCGCCAAGATCATCATCGAGAAGGGCGAGCTCCAAGTCTCGGATGGCGAGCGCGCCGCCTTCAACGAAAGGTAGGCATGCGCCCTCTACTTGCGAGCGCTGCAGCATGGGATATGTAGCGTCTACCAGGAGATTGCGACGATCGTGGCCGAAAAGTGCGTCAACCCCGAGTCCAACCGCCCGTACCCGGTAGGCAACACCAACCCTTCGACTGTGGGCGCTCATGAACTGCCACCTTAGTTTACGGTCATTGAACGCGCCATGAAGGAGATGCACTACGCACTCATCCCGAACCGATCGGCCAAGCAGCAGGTGCGCATCATGGCATCCACGGACACGACGTTATCTATGTACATGCATTTAGGCGCTTGAAGTCATCAAGAAGCTCAAGGCGCACATGCCCATCACGCGTGCCAAGATGAAGGTCCAGGTGACGGTCGCCCCGGCGGGTACAGCTTCCATCTTCCATGCTCGCACTCATCGAATCCTACGCGCAGACGGCCAAGCGACCAAGGAGTTTCTCGCCGAGCAGGAAGCTGTCATCGTGGAGCAGCGTGGCGGCGACGTGCTGCGCATCATTTGCCAGATCGACCCGAGTGCGTACCGCCATTTGGACCAGTTTGTCAACCCAAAGGGCAAGAAGGGTACGCAATATATATTCGTGCACGATAGCGCGGTGCGAGGATGCAATATCTGTATATATATAGATGCGTCGCGGTCGCTGGAAGTGCTCGATTTAAGCTGCCACGAGCAGGGCGAGCACACGATCGACGACGAGATCTCGAAAAAGACGGAGCGTCTGACGCTCGACTTGCCGCCGGCCGCACCGGCTGTCGTGGCGGCGGCGGCGCCCGTCGTCGAGAAGAAGGCGGGGCGGCCGTGCAGCACGTGCGGCGGCGATTTCCCGGATACGGCCAAGTACCGCGACCACTTTCGCTCCGAGTGGCACCGCTACAACCTCAAGCTCAAGTCGAAAGGCCGGTCGCTTGTTGACGAAGCCACCTTTGCGACCATTGACCCGAGTGACGTGCAAAAGATCTACGATACGCTCGAGTAAGAAGAAGCAATGTCCAGCAGCTAATATCTCCTTTTGAGTTTGGATTCGGTTTTGAATCACAAGGATAGGATAGGATAGGATAGGATAGGATAGGATAGGATAGGATAGGATAGAATTGGATAGAATTGGATAGGATCATATGGAGAGTGGATTAGGCGCTCGTTGTCGACTCGGTGAGCGCTTCGGGCAGCATAAACACCTTGGGCTTGTCGAAGACCTTGATGGCATCTTCGATCTCTTGCATTTTGGTCTCGAGCGCCTGCTTGCGGCGGATCTGGCTCGGTGTCTCGATGCGCAGCGGCAGCTGGTTCATCTGTCGGCGCGCCGCTTCATAGCGTTTGGCGCCGTCAAGGCTACTAGAGTCATATTCAGAGATACAAAGGAAGCATCGTCCAAAGGATATTCTCGCGCAGCGTCGCCAATGTATCCAAGCGGTCGTCGTCGGGCATGAGCACCATCCCAGGCGGGCAGTCGGGGTCCGGAAGGTTCATGCGGCGGTCCTCTTCTTCTTTCGCCCACTACCACCACTTCCATAGGCTACGAGAGGTGCATCTTGACGGCGTACCGCAGCCTTGCGCTCACGGAGGTAGCTCGGGACTTGGCCAAAGCTCTGATGTCGCCTCGACTCGATGTCCCAGAGCTCGGCGGCCGTCGGTGCAGGCTTCTTGGGCGCCTTTTGGATGACCTCCCACGCATTCGAGTTGATGAAATCGACTTGTTGCCGGTTCTGGGCCTCCTTGAGCTGCCGGTCGCGCTCGCGAAGCTCGTCTTGGGTCGGGACGCGGGCCTTGTTGTACTCGCGTCGATGGGTCGTATACCGCGAGTGTTGGCTGCTCGTGCTCGAGCGGTCATCTCCGTCGTAGCTGCCAACACGCGAGGCTGCGCGCTCAAAGCGCTTGATTTTGAAGCTCTCGGTCGCGCGCTTGGCATTCGCCTTGGCTTCGTCCTCGGCCTTCTTCTGCGCCTGCTCGGCCTGCTTGAGCTGGATGCGCTTGCGGTTCTCCTTGACAAAGTCCCTCGGCGCCACGCCCCGCTTGATCATGTCTTCGCGGTACCCGGTGCTCGGGCGCAGCGCGGCTGCGACGCCCGACGAGTCGTTCGTCCGCCCAACTCGCCACGTCGCTGCCATCTTCGATCTGAGCGTCCGCATACGTCACGCATTATCCGGAGGATCTATTGTCACCGTTGATTGGCTCTTTTTTCGCGCCATGCGATTGGCAGAAACGCGAGCCTTGCAATGGTTGGTGGGTTTTGTTTTTTGTTGGCGACTGGTAATTGCAGTTTGAACCCAAGCAATACGACGATGGGGAAGAAGGAGCGCATGCAAGCAGTCGGCCGCGTCGGCGCCAAGGCCAAGGCCAAGGCCGGCGCCAAGACCTTTGGCCGCGCCAAGAGCAACGCCTTTGACGTGCAGTCCAACTCGCGCTCCAAGTACGAGGTGCTCGGGAAGCGCATCAAGGGCCAAGGTCGCAACGTGGCCCAAGCCCGCGCGCAGGCCGAGGACCGCCGCCGCCAAACGCTGCTCAAGCAGTTCCAGACGCGCAAGAAGAACAACGAGTTCAAGGATCGCCGTCTTGGCGAACAGAGCGAAGACATGTCGCTCGAAGACAAGATGCTCGCGCGCTTCCAGACAGAGCGCAAGAAGCAGTACCAGCAGCAGCGCAACGCCTCCAAGTTCAACCTCGCCGACGAGAACGACGACAACGAAGAGGAGTTTCTGACGCATCGTGGCCAGAAGATCGACGACTATGACGCGTTTGACGGCCCGGACGGGCATGGCAGTGACATGGACGAAGAAGACCGTGCGTTCGAGAACAAGCTCGGGCGCGAGCTCGTAAACCAGCTCCACTTTGGTGGCGGCGCCGCTGCAAATGGCGACGAACCCGCGAAGAAGAAGACGCACGAAGAGATCATGCACGAAGTTATGATGAAGAGCAAGATGTACAAGGCGGAGAAGCAGAAGAACAAGGCCAACCAGGACGAGACGACCGAGGTCCTCGACGCCGAGTTTGCCGACTTTCAAAAGATGCTGTCGTTCCGGCCCAAGAAGGCCGATCGGACGCCCGAAGCGCGTGGCGAGCTCGATGAATTCGACAAGATGGCGCGCCTCCTCTCGATGGAAGCCAAGGCCAAAGCCACCGAGCGCAACCTCTCGCCCGAAGAGATTGCCAAGAAGGAGCACGAAAAGCTTGCCGAGCTCGAGAAGCAGCGGATCGCGCGCATGAACGGCGAAGACGAGAGCGACACCGAGACGGCCAAGAAGGCGACAAAGAAAAAGGGCGGCAAGAAGCAGCCCAAGTTCATTCTGATGCGCCCGCCGCCGGCCACGGACGACTCGCTCAACGACGACTACCAGATCGACCAGCAGTTCAACCAAACCAACGAGAGCGACGCCGAGAACGACGACGACCAGGAAGACAAGGCCGAGGACGACGAGGAAGAAGATGACGAAGATGAAGATGACGACGAGGATGGCGATCTGGAAGATGATGAGGACGATGACAACGAAGAAGGTGACGAAGACGACGACGAGGAAGAGGATGACGACGACGAAGAAGAAGAAGTCGACGAGGAAGCCCTCGCCCGTGCCCAGAAGAAGCGCGCGGACGCGGCCAAGGAGATCCCGTACGTGCTCGAGTGTCCGACGACGCCAGCAGAGCTCGCGGCGCTCTTCTCCAAGTACGCGCACAACGCGACGGACCGCAACGTCATCATTGAGCGCTTGCGCAAGTACTACTCGCCCAAGCTCAGCGCGGCCAACCAGGCGTTGATGAAGAAGCTCTTTGCGGTGCTCTTGCGCCAGTTCCTCAAGTACGCGGCCAACTACGACAAGTTTGGCGCCGACTTGCACCACCTCGCGGGCCACATTTTCGACACGGCGCAGGAGTTTCCAGAACACGCCGGCGCGCTCTTCCGCGACTACCTCACAGCGCTCCAGAAGAAGCTTTCGAAGAAGAAGACGATGCCGTGGCCCGACATGCGCGACCTGCTCCTTCTGCGCGTGGCGCTCTCGGTGTTCCCCGTCACGGATCTCCGCCACAACGTCTTGTCGCCGATTGAGCTCCTTATTGGGCAGGCGCTGGCGAAGGCGCCGATCGCGTCGGCCAGCGATGTGCGCAGCGCGCTCTTCTGCGTCGGCTTGAGCTTGCACATGACGCGCGAGAAGAAGAAGTTTTCGCCTGAGGTGCTCTACGCGCTCAACTCGCTCGTCGAGCTCCTTGGCAACCCTGAGAGCAGCTGGTGGATCGAATCGATCAACGCGTGGGTCGAGGACAACAAGGACGCGGCGAGCTTCCCGCTGCTCCCGCTGCACACGCCGCTGCCCAACGAAGCCATGTCGGCGGCGCTCTTCCACGGTCTCTTGAGCTTTATTGACGTGGCGGCGGCGCAGTACGCATCGCTGCCGTCGGTCAACGAGCTTCTCGCGCCGATCGAGCGCCTCCTCAAGGCCATTCACGCCAAGCACCTGCCGGCGACCAACGGTCGCCTCGAAGCGACGCTCACGCTGCTGCAGACGACCATGAAGAACGCGCTCCAAACGCGCAAGCCGCTGCGTCTCCAGACGTTTGCGCCGACGGTGCTGCCGTCGTTCGTGCCCAAGTTTGACGAAAACTACGCGATGCGCAAGGACAAGACAACGGACCGTGAGAAGGCGCAGCTCAAGCAGCTCCAGCGCCAGGTCAAGCGCGAGCGCAAGGGTGCGAGCCGCGAGCTTCGGCGCGACGCGGCGTTCCTCGCACGCCAGCGCGACGAAGAGCGCGCCAACTGGCAAACCGAGAAGAACGCCAAGCAAAAGGAGATTCGGTCGTGGATGGAGCAGCAGAACGCGACCTTCAACCAGCAGGTGCGCAAGGGCGGCGAGCTCCTCAAGGGCGGCGGCGCCGGCCTCGCCAAGAAGCGCCGTGTTAGTAAAAAGTAGATGCCTGCACACTAAAATTAAACCACTCTTGATGTATTACACGCTAAATCTCGTGGAGCCACTTGGCACTAAGCTCTTGTTGCGGGCGTGAGCTCATCTGGTGGGCGCTGGTGGTTGTGGGGTCGGGCGAGACAGGTGAGCCGGCGATCGGCACCGTGACAGCCGCCGTGATATCCCACGTTGCGGCCACAATCAACGCGGGCCAGGCGCCGTTGTCGTCGTGTCGGGTCAACAGATCTCGTCTGATCGCGAAAGAAAGAGACGAGAATTTGCAGTTTGCACTTTAGCTCGACATCCCGCAACACCAATGCACGGGAGGGTTCGCTGCCGCGAGCTCGAATCCGAGATCGAACCATCCGCCTCTCTGCACCGTGGGATGACCGCAAGGGCGGCCTGCATTCGAACGGGGCGGCGCCGAGCGAGTGTGCGTAGAAAGGACATGTGGTGGTGACACGTACTGTCAAAGATACTTTGGCCCCTGGGGCAATGGCGGTCGATGGCCGAGGGGCGCTGCGGCGATGACGACGACAAGCAGTGCCGATGGAACCCTGTTCTATTGTCTCCTACAGACGTCCTTCGAATTGGTAGAAGTCGTCAATGGCGGCGTGTAGGAGCGGTGGACGACCCCGGCGGGTGTTACGAGAGTGGGATCTCATGTTACTGCGCATGGTCTGTCGGCGGGGCGCCGCAGCTGCGCAGGTTCGGCGCGCCTTCGCCGCGTGCTTATATTTCATTTCCACCAGCGTAATAGAGTGCATCGATGCGGGCGTTCCTTGCCTTTGTCGTCGCGCTGCTGGTACTGGCCGAGGCCAAGACCAACACAAGTGCACCCTCGATCGTGCCGGTGACGACGACGCCGGCGCCGACCACCGAGACGCCCGTGCCGACGACGACAGCGGCCCCGACTACGACACCGGTGCCCACCACGACAGCACCGCCTACAACGACGCCCGCACCGACGACAACGGTGCTGCCGACCACGACACCGCCACCAACACCGCCGCCAACCACCGCAACGCCAGAGCCGACGACCGAAGAGCCGACGCCGGCGCCAACGACACGCGGCATGACACGCCCGGCGCCGACGACCGCTGTCGCCGTCGCTTCCGATGACAATGACACGATGACGTATGCGCTCATTGGTGGCGGCTGCGGCCTCGTCATGGTGCTCGCGGTTGGTATATCGTATACGCTCGCCAAGAGCCGGCAGCGCGTGAGCGACTACGAGTTTGACAAAAAGTCGGGTTTGAGTCCGCTCGATACGTTCCGGTCAGGCCACAACGTCGTGACACTCTCGGGGCGGCTCACAGCGCAGTACGACATGACGCCGTTTGGGAACCCAGCATTCGACGTCGTGGAGCCACCGCCGCCCATGTACTCGATGCAGCACTACGAGTACCCGTCGTCTGTCGCGGCGCCGAACGAAGCGTCCTTCTCGGCCGAGAGCGGCTACTCGCACATCCCGTCATTCCAAACCGACTCGGACATTTTCGACTCGCAGTACAGTCTCCACTCGGCCAACTCGGACGTTGCGTACTCGACCGACTCGTTTAGTGACACGAGCAGCGACTACGGCGGCCGCTACTCGCAGTCGTGCGAGATTTAGGATGTACTTGACTGTAGTAGACTATCTACCTGCAATCACAAAGACGTTTGGCTCTGTCGCGTGGTTATGTAGGTAGTCAGTAGCGTTGGGCTCTTCTGCAACAGCTTCATCACAGCCATGCTGATCAGCTGCGCTGATACGACGCGTGAAGGGCTGACGTAGAGGAAACGTTGTGGGTACACGGACCAGCTCGCAGCAACGAAGACCATCTCTTTCGATCACGCCACATGCGAATGCGGATCGTGCTCTGTAGTACGTAGGACAAGTCGAGACACGAAGACAGGCGCCAGACAGGCTGAGCGCTTCCTACCGCGTGCCCGCTTCCACGAAGATTGCACCCGATTTGATTCTGGTTCCTGTTGACTAGCATCATGTTTCAGAGGTTATATTCTCATTCAATGCAGGGTTACATTATTTATTGCACTATATCTATATTAAGAGGTAATTATTTAAAGGATCTGCGTGATGCTCAAATGTTAGCGACTAACTAATCATTCGATCAATCGCTAGCAGGACGCATACTGCGCCAATACGACGGGCGAAGACTCGCATCAGTCTCTTTATCTTCTGTGCACGCAGACCAGGGTGGTTCTGCGCAGCGTCTACGGAATCTTACAAGGTGTGTCGTGTGCTATAGTTGAGCTTTGTAGTCGACTAACTCAAATGTTTAGTCGGTTTGCTGGGTTTTTTAGTTTGATTTTTGGCCATGTTTCGCCGAGTGGTCACGCTGCGCCGCGCCGTGGGCTCGCGCGCGTACGGCGAGAACAAGAAGGTCTTCCAGCGCAAGCTCAAGCAGTTCAAAGCCATCGACAGCGACGAGCTCCTCGCGCCGAGCCTCTTTGAGAACCGCGTCATCCTCGTACGACGGCTACGTCGTCCTTGCTGCTTGCTCATGCTACGATGGCTAGGTCGCCAACACAGCGTCCAAGTGCGGCTTCACGCCGCAGCTCGGCTCGATGCAACAGCTCTACGCGCAGCTCAAGGACCGAGGGCTCACGGTCCTCGCCGTGCCATCCAACGACTTTGGCGGCCAAGAGGTACTACAGGGCAGCACTGCAAACTCGTTCACGACATGCAACTAGCCTGGCGACGAGGAGGAAGTCGAAGCGTTCTACCGCACCGAGTACAAGGTCGAGTTCCCGATCACGTCCAAGGTCAAGGTCCTCGGGCCCGACGCGCACCCGTTCTTTGTCGCGCTGGAAGAGCACTACACGTCCGAAGTCGCGCCAACGTACGATGATTTGCATCCAAGTTGGTCGTGCCAGTAGACCCCAATGTGCTGTTTTAGGTGGAACTTTGACAAGTTTGTGATCGACCAGACAGGCGACCTGCGCGCCGTGTACCCCAACGACGTCGACCCGCTCGAGCCCGAGGTCGTCGAGATGCTCTCGAACCTCCTCGACAGCTTGCCTCAAAACAAGACGCCATTGGCTGCGGAATAAATGAAAACAAAAGGCTTGTACTTGATACGTTGAAACTTTGTTACAGCGTCGGACCCTGTGGGCACGCGCGGAAGCACGGCGCCTCGGCGAGCAGCCGCGAGTCCTTCCCGTCGTCAATGGTGGTCTCGGCGTCGTAGAGCTCGAGGTGGATGTCGGCTTCGACCACATACGTGATGCTTTCGATTTCCCTACTAAAATTTCAGAAAACGCAAGATAAACAAATCTTACTTGCGGGCGCGGGCGGCAATTTTGTGCACGTCGCGCACCGAGAGGTCGGGGCTCACGACGATGGCCACGTCGAGAAACGTGCCGTACCCAAGACCAGTCTCGCCGGACGCGTACGTGACGTTGTCGCGCGGCACCCAATGCGCGTTGACGTGGGTGATGCCTTGGACTTGGGGAATCTTGCGCACGGCGTGGAGCACGTCGCGCTTGATCTCGCGGTACGGCCGCATGGTCTCTTCGGGCGTCACCGAGCCCCAATTCGAGTTGTCCAGCTCGTCTAATGGAATATAGACTCTGGTCGACGGCACACGACGTACTGTGGGCCACATCAATGTGCACGAGCACCTCCGAGACGTCGGGCAACTCGCGCAGAATCTCCGACTTGACGCGCGCCGCCACCTAGTCGCAGTCAGGAATCTAGTGTCGTCGGTCGAGGACGTACCTGTTGGGCTGCAGAGACACTGGTGCGAGCATGTACCTACGCATGCAGATGAGCGTTCGTCCAGCGACGTCTCGCAACGTACATTGGCTCGGAGGTCCACAAGCGTATATGGGCCCATGCGACGCGCACGGATGTTGCTGACCGACACGACGTCCTCGACGTTGCTCGACTAGCGACATGTGAGCGTAGAGCGCGCGCGCGACGGTGCGTACCGTGACTTTGAGGAGCTTGAGGATATCGTCTTCGACGCTCTTGTCCGTGAGTTCGCGCACACTAGGCGCGGTACCTCGACACCGAATATTGTATGTGAAATGCGCACCTGTCCAAGCAAATGTCGACACCCGTCTTGGCAATCATACACGATACAATGGCGCCCGCGACTAGACCGATATCGTGAAAAGTTGACGCCATCAAGAAACGTTGCCGTACGCGGATCGACGAGGGGCACGCCGGCCATCGTGCCACAGATACCGCCTGCGTAGAGTAGTATGAGCTACTGGTCGGCAAGAGCGTGGCATCGCACCGAGCGCAATGAACGACGATATCGCGTCCGAACGGTGGTGCCAGGCATTGGCAATCAACACCTATGCACGATTCAAGACAGTTAGGTACATTTGATCCATTGGTCTCTTACCTTGCTCTTGGCCTTCTTCCCGATGCGAACCGTAGCGTGGTACAACGCCTCCTTGGCCCCGATGGAGGCCAGTGCTGCGCCAGCGGCAATGCCCCATTGCGTTGTCGTGTCGAGACCTACAACATCGAGTTACGAGGTGTGCGTCCTTATGTTGGACGGTGTCGTACTGGTAATCGCCGAGAGATCGACAATGTTGTGCAAGTGGCCCGCGTGCTCGGCAGCCGAGAGAGCTTCCTGTGCGGCTTGCGCGGCCGCATAGCCCCACGTGCCACCGTTTGCAGCGACCAACGCGCTGGCTTCTTGCAGCGTGTGCACCGCGTCCCAGCCCATGGCCACGCCGGCGCCCGTCAAGATCGCGCCGACGGTAAGCGACCCGACGGCCTCAAACTTGCCGTAGCCATACGGGTGGTTGTCGTCGGGCGGCAAGCGCGCGACTTTGACGCTCCAAAGCGTCACAAAGTCCGAGAGTAGGTCCGAGAGCGAGTGGGCGGCGTCCGCGACGAGCGCCGACGAGTTGACCGCGCAGCCGACGACGCCCTTGCAGCCGGCCATCGCGATGTTGACGTACATGCCAACGCGGGTGATCTTGAGCGCGTCGTCACTCTGGGCGTGGGGCGCATGGCTGTGTGCGCGGACGAGTGGCGGCAGGCGCAGTCGACGGGCATGGACCAGGCAAAGCATGATGTCGAAGATTCACCAAGTGCTGATTGGTCGAAATTCCGGCGGCGAAATCCAGTGACTTGGATAAAGTATATGCCCACAGACACCAGCGACCACGGCGTGGCACTGACCAATCAGCAACAAGGCGAACGACGTTGAAGGTTTGAGTTGAAGGCAAGCTCGGTCCGTCCACATACGGAGTATAAACAAGTTCTTAGCGCCATGGATGGCTTTTAGTCGATGCTACTCTAGTCAACGACGCCATGGCCAGCGAAATAGGGTCCCTGGACGCGCAACCATCGAGAGAAGTCACCAAACGAAACAAGGATCAACGACCGATGATCATGACATGGGAACTGGGTTCAACAAGACACCGCTCGTTCATCTTCGTCCATCAGTGCGTTCGATACCAGGTGAAGTATCGGTGCTGCCATACAACCAAGATCGTAGCCCAAGTACTAGAGTGAATGCACAAAATTTTAGCTTGCAAGGTAGCAAGGTATGGCCGACTCGCCGTCTTCTACAAGAACCAACAACGTTAACCTAGACTTGACCAGTTGA